CAGTTTCCTGACAGCCCTTTGGGAGTAGGGCTTTAACTCAGACATCCATATACTTTCAGTGGTGCTTTTTTCTGGAAAAAGCAGGAAGAACTGGATTTCATAATATAGAGATTTAAAAGGGAAAAAACTGTGTGACTGAAGAATATGGAGGAAAATAAGCCAGTTGTGGGTTTTGTTAGGTTTTTCTTACTGTTAAACAGCCTACAAAGCCCACCAGTTTCTTCATTATTAATTATCTTAAAGGTGTAAACCTTAACTTTTTCATCATGATTTCATTCTCACTAAAAATCCAGAAGAGTGTGAGAGGAGGAATCAGTTGAGTGTTTGATTGCACTGAAACTTTTGCAACCAACCAGGAAAAGCCATTGTGGGTGAAATGAAGGGAGCTGCAAGGTGCCTTTATTCTCACAGGGCTTTGGCTCACATGGCTTCAACTTTCTCTCCCTTCCCCTCTTCATTCATTCTGCCCTGCCTGCAGACAGGCTTCAAGCTCACTCTTCTCTTTCGCTCAGTTTTAGGTTCTGGTCTTTTTTTAAGACTCACAGAAGTGTAAAACATTCTCAGACTTGGGAGTTTGAGTTGTAAACTTGCAAACTCCTCAAGGTCTAATCAGATTTTTTTATTTTTTATTGGTTTGTCAAGCCTGGAGACAGATAGTTTTTTAGTCTGAGAGAAGTTCTTGAAGAGACACGGGAAAAACTGGCTTTGCCCTGGCAGCTCTCGTGAGGTTTCCTGGGGTTTGTGTTCTTGGAAATTTTTCCCTCATGACTTCAGAATTTGCATTACACTCATGTAACAGAGAGAATAAAAACTGACCTTCAGCATTGGAGCAAAATGGGGGACGGCAAAATTTGCAGCAGAAATTAAAACCTGGGAGGCTCCCGCTGTCTCTGCTGACCGTTTTCCTCTTGCCTTTTAATTGCTAGATCATTCGACACCAGCCAGCCAGTCTCCTCACTCCTCCAACCCCAGCAGCTTGCCAAGCTCCCCTCCTACCCATAACCACAATTCTGTTCCCTTCTCCAACTTTGGACCCATTGGGACTCCGGACAACAGAGACCGGAGAGTCACAGACCGCTGGAAAACAGATAAGCCAGGCAAGTGCCGGGGTCCAGGCTCTTGCAGAGCCATCAGACACCATCAGCTGATGGCATTTGCTTTGCAGTGGTTTTGCCATGTCCCTTTGAACTTGTATTTCTCCCGTTTTAGCAATGGGAGGGTTTGGTCTGGACTATCTCCCGGCAACGTCGTCCTCTTCGGAGAGCAGCTGGCACCAGTCCAGCGCTCCCAGTGGCACCTGGGCAGCCCAAGGCCCTCCCACCATGGAGGACTCCTCAGCTGTGCTCATGGAGAGCCTGAAGGTAGGTTTGGCTGAAACTGTGCTCGGGAACGGGTCTGTGGGGCCTGAGGATGCAGGGACGGGCATTAGCCTGTTGCAGGTGTCAGAGTTCAGTGTCAGAAGCCGAAGGTTTTTCCTGCAGATTCACTTACGCAGGCAGTGTGGGAGGTGTCGCCAGCGCTGGAAGACGTCACGGTTTTCCAGTTCTTGCTGGTTTTGAGTGTTTTGTGGATCAAGCCCAGGCTGGCAGAACTGGAAGGAATTAAAACATTTGCTTTGACTAGTCTAAAATTAGTAGTAGTTAACGTGGGATGAATTTTTATGGTAATGAGGATTCGGGGGGAGTTTAAGGTTCTTCCAGGGAACCTCTTTTTAAAAGGCCTTCTTTGAAACCTGGGTAACTTTCATGATAAGCCAGGTATGAGTGACAAAGAAGGAGAATATAGAACACTGTCTCTGCTTTGCCATCTGTCAGAGGGGGGCTGTCTAATGCAGGAGGTGCTAGTGTTGGCTCTTTGTTTTCAGTCCATCTGGTCGAGCTCCATGATGCACCCCGGCCCTTCGGCCCTGGAGCAGCTGCTGATGCAGCAGAAGCAGAAGCAGCAGCGTGGACAAGGCGCCATGAACCCGCCGCATTGAGACAGAGGAGGCGACCCTCGCAAACGACGGCTCCATAAACCATGGCATGTTGGGTCTGCAGGACTGGCCCACACAGTCCTGTGCAGGTGGCAGCCCTCTCTTCTGTTCCTTGCTGTCAGGAGGGCGTAAGTGCTCCACCGACCCACTGAGTGTGCACAAAACGTCTGCAGTGCAAGCAAACAACATCAGGAACTCTCCCATCCCCGGGCCCTTTGGAGGGAGAGAGGAACTGCTGTTTGGCTCACTCAGTAACCCGATATCACCGCCTCTCACCTTCTCCATCGTGCATGTCCCCAGCCACATGGGAAGTAAAAGCTGAGAACGAAGGGCAGACGGGAGAAGCCAATGAGAACTTCTCAATCCTTATCCCCTCTTCCGGGGAGACACAATAGGAATCCATTAACGATTGCTTCGCTGACTGAGAATGTAGTTGAAATTACTCCTAAACATCTTTATTACTATCTCAGTAGTAAGATCACACTGAATTCTTCCGTACACAGAACGTGCTTCATAGTCAGTGTGTAGCAATGAAAGCCCCAGTTGCTGCTCTGGTCAGAGGTGGTTGGTGGCGAGGTGGGGCTCTGTCTCCTGGGCTAGCAAAGGAGTTTCATGAAGGAGAGTCTGGCACTTGGCACCGCTTCACCCAGAGGCTTTGGCCAGCCCACGGGTGGGTTAGAGACTCCAGCATGAAATGCCCTCCTCTCAGTAGGTGTTTGAGCTATAATGGGTGATGTGGGGCATCGCAGCACTCTGCTGAACAAGCAAGTTAACTGCTATGGGGTTTTAAATTAATGTGTGATTCCTGTACATTTTACTGTAGCATAGTGGCTAGCCCCACAAAGGGCAGGCTAGTCTGTGCATTCACAGCCTGACTCATTTTAATAGGTAGGTAGAAAGCTTTCAATGGTTTTCTTTTTTTTTGTTTTTGGTTTTGTTTTTCTGTTTGTTTTTTTTTTTTCTCTCCATCTTCCCATCTTCGCTGAATGCTCGTAGTTTCATTACCACGTGCAACATCTCGCAGAAAATAATCAGGGGTCCAGCAGGGCTGGGTAAATCCGACAGTCAGCCTGGACAGTGTGGAGAGTCCACACCCCCAGCAAGGCACAGGTCAGCTCTTGCAGAAACCCGTCCCCCTCCCTGCCCCAGCTGCAGCCCCAAGCTTTCAGTTCCAGAAACAAATCCAAGGCACCCATGGACACACGTGTGTGAACCGCACATGGAAACGGCGTAGAGCTGTTCACAGCTGAAAAGGTGCAGAAGGGAAAAGGAAAAAACGTTTTATTTGCTATTTATTAGGGGGAAGGAAGACTGGAAGCTTCATTAAAGGACAGCGTTCTCGTTAGGTTTCCCAGGGAAGTTACGGAAACAATCTCAATGTCCATTTGCTGTGTTTAGCAGTAGGGGTTTGTGTGATGATTCAGGATCTCTGGGCTGGAATTCAGACGCAGAGCAAAGCACATGCAGGAGCTGAAGCGAGACTGGAGTCTGGGCAGCTCCAGAGAACACGAAAAGGGAAGGCGGAGGAGACCCGACACCCCTCGGGGGTAGAAGCAGCTCCCCCACGAGCTCCACCCTAGCAACATCCCTGTTCTGTGTTGCATTTCGAAGCTGTGTTTCCTTTAACGAGCCCAAAAAGTGAAGTTCCCACCCGGTGGTAATACAGCCCCACCCCCTGTGTGCTTCCCTCCGGCCCTCCCGGTCCGCGTCCGAGCTGTGCACCCCCGGCAGCTGCGACATTCCAGCGTTTGATCCGTCACTGACTCTTGCACCCCAGACGAGCTAACCAGGTTCTCCATCTCCCTGCCGGCAGCGCCCGCTGCAGCCGCACCGTTCCACTTGTGCATGAGCGCCCGGCCTCGGGAATGCGTCCGGCTCCCGGCCCGCCCCCCAGCACCTGGGGGAGCGAGGGAGGGGGCCCCCAACAGAAACTGGTTTGTGTCGTAAGCTTTTTTTTTTGTGTTTTTTGTCTGTCTGTGCAAGAACTGCAGCTGCTGAAATCAGCTTTGCCTTTAATTAAACCATGTTCTCTCCATCCGGGTCTGTGTGTAGCATTTATTTCCCATGGGACTTGGCTGCAGGCCTTTAAAAACACATTATTTTTCTGGAGAAGCCAGAAGAAGGTTTGAAGTTGATTTTTTTTTAATTATTTTTTCCCCCCCCTCTTATTTGAAAGAGACCTAAATAAATTCACAGTGGTTCTGGCTTGGGCTTGGTGCAGATAATTGGATTGTGGTTTTGTACTGCCTGTGTGTAGTGATGGGAGTAGTTTGCAAAGCTCCTCTTCAGTTGCAGACTGAACCCGGTAGGGCACAGATCCTTCTGCCATTCAGCTGCCTGCAGATCAGGATGTTGACTGTCTTCCTACTTCCAAATGTGTCACAGAAAACTCCAGAGATGTTCTAGGTTTGAAATGATGGGTGTTTGTTGTATCCAGGCAGCTCTTCAGAGTAAGTTCCTTCAGCAATAAATATGATATTTAGATTATTGGCTCAATGGGGTTGTCCAGGACCTGTATGATAGAATCCAAAGTGGAGAAACTGCTGCCTCTGCTTTGGAGCAAAGCTCTGAGATTGCAGGCAGCGTGCTTCTAAGTTACTGTCTCTTCTGACTGATCAGAAAAAGCTTTGAGACACAACAGTGAAAAAAGTGTCCACTTTTTTTGGTTGGGGTTGCAAAGTCCCTGCGAGTTTGAATTCTGAGTTGGAGCCAGGGTTGTGTGGAGGCTGTGTGGGGTTGGCAGTCGTGTTTTAAGGAAGCAAATGCTGTTCAGCCTTTTCCTGGACTGTAGCTTCCTGAATGTCACTTCCCTTTTTGGATGTGCTGACAGGGCTGGAAATGCGGGTGGCACCGCCCTCTCGAGGGTTTTCCCAGCTCCTGGTGTGTCTGTGGAAAAGCTTTGTTAGGGAATAGCACAGGTGGGACAGGGCAAGTCTCCTGACAAGCACGGGATTTAGGAATTCCTGACAGGAAGACAATTAGCAGCTTCTGAACAAGTACCTGTTTTAGAGGACGACGCAAAAGGTAAAAGAAAATATAAAGCCTTTAATACAAGTAGCAATAATATAAGTTCATAATGAAGTTCATTTTCAGATGCAGGGATTAATATGGAAACTTCTTAATGGCAGCAGTTGAATCCTTAATGTTTTTCCACGACTTTAAGCTCTTCTGAAGTCTCACTTCTCTGGGTCTTCAGTGCTGAATGAAGGCAGATGGGAAGATGCCAGTCTTCCCGTTGCACTGGCCTTCTAACCAGTCTTCATTCACTGGAAGAGAAAATTGACACCGTTTTTGTCACCCTAGGGATGTAGAGGAACAAAATCACCTCCTTGTGCTCCAGACAGGCCCAAGATCAGCATTTTAAGGTGCTCCTGCTGATAAGCCTTTGAGCCCTGCTAGAGCCTGGTAGAGAGAGGAATGTGGAGGAGAGGGGATGAGAAGGAATTAGGAAGAGAGCAAAGCTACAAGGTAAGAAGGGATGCCAAACAGAGGTGGGAAATCAGACCAAAATATAGACCAAGGGGTTTGGAAACTGCCTTGAGTGGAAACAAGGTGAGTGTGGAGAGTGAGGAAATGATCTGATAGCTTGGGCTGTCCTCTTCAAAATGAAACTAAACTGTATTTTCACCTGTTTTCCAAGTTCACATAAAAACCCCAAACCAAACCCCCAAAGCCTCTGCTACCCTGGGCTGAGTAAAGCCTGGGAGCTCTGAAAATCTTGCTATGGGGGAACCAAATGAGGTGAGAACTACCTTTCTGATGGGAAATACTTAGCTCAGCAGTGAAGGGCAGAGTAGGATTTTGAGGTGGGGGGAGTCATCAGTGCTAACCTGTACAATCATAGAGGGGGACTCTGATTACTTGTGTACTGCTGCCAAAGCCTGCCAGCCACCACAATTACTGACAGAGCTGCAGCCAGCAAGGTATCACAAGTGTTTTGCCTTCAAAACTTATTCCTGATGTCTTGATTTCACTCAAAGGCCCCATTAAGGAGGGAAACATGCCCTGTGTACATATTTCTTCACCTGATAGGGGCTTACCAGCAGTTTTTGCTGCAGCACAGTGGCTTTGTCCCTTCTGCTGTGTGTTCTGCACAGGCTTGAAAGGATCCAAGTCAAACATAACGTACTAGATCTTGCTGAGATTGCCTCTCTTTAAGCCTCAGTTTTCATAGAAGCACTAAAGACTAATATGTAACAGGAAAAGGTGCCATGTGAGAGGAATGGGAGCAGGAGCCTTCTCCCATTGCAGGGGCTGCAGCCAAAATGAGGCATCTCCTTGGAAAAATCCACTGCAAAGAGTAAGCTTAAACACAGCTCAAGGGGGAACTCCTGTCTTAAATGCTTGGGGAACGGGGTGGCAGAAACAGGACTGTGAAGAAAATATGTTGGAAGTGTGCGTGACATGGATGTGTGGATGGGAAGCCCACACCAGAGCTGGAGGAGCTCTGCTGCTGCCACACTGCCCTTGCTCTCAGCAGAGCTGGCAGGTCCCTCCCCTCCCCTGTCACAAGAGGAGCACCATTACCTTTGGATAAAACAAGGATCACATCTCCTGCCTGAAACTCCAGGTCTTCAGGTTGGGTGGCTTCATAACTGTACTGTGCTACAACTTGGGTTGGTCCCATCTCCTTCGGCGGGGCCTCCTGTGGCGACTCCTCTGGCTTGCTGTCTGGTAAAAACCCCTCTCCCTAGGGCAAGGAACAAGCTGGTAAGGACACACACACCCCCTTTGGCTTCTCCTTTTTCTTTGTGCCAGGGCAAGAGAGGCAAGCTCTGCTTCTCCTCCTCCCCCGCTCTTTTTTCCTCTGCTGAAAGCCATGAGCCTGTGCTTGTGGCAAGGAAAGCAAAGGCAGGAGGGGGAAGAAAAGGTGGCTTCCACCTGCAGCTGTCCCTGACCTCCGTGAGGTCACACCAGGCCGTGAGGCAGTTGTCCTTGCTCTGGCTCCAAGCTGCATCCAGGTTCTTTGCAGTCAGAGTCACCAGCTCTTGGCTCTCCGCGGGCTTGTACCTGGTGTGCAGGGGATGCAGGTGAGGGTGGGAGCCCTGGGATCGTGGCTCTGGCTCCCTGAGACGGGCAGGGCCTCACCTCAGCTCCGTGTGCTGGGGCTGCAGCTCCAGCTTCCTGCAAACCAGGTCCAGGAGCTCCGGGTAGGAGAGGCCTGGCTGGACCCTCAGGGCCACCGTGTATTTGTAATGCACCTTGAGGATGTGGGGGCTGGGGACGGGTGGCTCGGCCTCCTGCGGGCAACAAATGAGTTATCACCTTGTGTGGCTTGGCAAGGGAAGGGAGAGGGGCTGGGATGTGGAATCTGTGGTTGCCATGGTGGTGGTTGGTCAGATTGTGCCACCCAAGCCATGGTTGGCAGCTCCTGGAGGGAGCCCAGTGATAGATGAGGCACTTGGCACCAAATTGTGGCTTTGAGGTGACCAAATTCAAGATGTGTCCACACTCCAACCCCCTCATTCTTTTTTTTCGAGTTGGGAATGTTTTGTTTTCCCATCTCTCTCTCCCCCCAGCATGACCTGATGCGCTGACCCAGCCCAGGAGTGTGTGCATTCCAGCCAAACTCCTGTTTCTCCCTTCTCAAGTGCCTCAGGCCAACTGAGATGTTGCAACTGCACCAGGTTAACCGAGAGTCCGAAAAAGCAGCTCTAGTTGCCTGGTAAATGCAGGTTTGTGGCACCAACAGGACCTCGGTGTCTGTGTTCACGGGATGTTACCTTTGCTGTGTCTCTTGGCTGCGTCACAGTAGCAGGAATGTGGTCTGTGGAGGAGCAGAGAGGTGGCTCAGCAGGTGGAATGGGATAAGCGTGGCTGCTCTGAGCCTAAATATGTTGTCAGATCTCCTGCAGCAACACCAACCACCCCTGGGGCCAGCGCTGGTCCCTTGAATGGATCTGCATCTGCCACAATGGGCTTCGTCTGTAGGATCTAGATACAACCACTGAGCAGAGGTTTGGCCTCTGTGCCTCTTCTCTTGGGAGTTTAAGGGGTGGGATGTCTTTCCTGGGTAGATTTTAAAGAGATAAAAAGCGAGCTGCTGGTTTTAGTGTCTTTGCTCTTAAGATCTCCCTAGGTCTGCCATGAAAACTGAAGGCAGTCCCTGCCCTTCACGGGGGCTGTAAAGCTAAATTCGGACCTCCAGGCAGGGTTGTTGAAGCCCCTTCACGAGGATCTGGTCTACATTTTGGCAGTGCTGTGACATGACTGTGCTCCTTATGGGACGTGACAGAGCTACACTGTTGAGTGTGGTCCACTTATTGATCTGAGATGGCTTTTGATGGCCTAAAGGTGGTCTTTGGGGTTGTTGGGTCTATGAGCTGTCTGTTCTTAACTCTATGAGCCACAGCCACCTTCTGTGTCAGCTTTACCTCTGGACTGCCTATGTGGCTGTGCTGGGGGCAATGTGGTGACCCTGGTGCCACCATCTCTGCCCCAGGCCTGGGATGTGGGACACTGGGTCACACTGGCCAGGAATCCCCTACCCAGGGCAACCACAGCATCTTGAAGCCCAGCCCAGCTCAGGGCAGCAAGAAAACCATCATGAGTGCCCTGCTTAAAGGAGAAGCCTCTAAGGAGCCTTCTATTCCAGCTGGTTTCTTGCCCCATTCCTACTCCCAGGCCTTTTTCTCATTAGTCACTGTGCTAATTAAGAGGACAGAGGGACTTGCTTTTCTCACATATTCACAGGCACTGTTTTACTCCCTCCTCAACACTGCAGTTGCTGTCTTTGCCTCCAGCTTTAATGTCTCCCAGTCCCTGACCGGAAATGGGGCTGGGATAAATATGGAGGTGAGCCTTAGCCCTGGTCTGAAAGGGTCAGGATGTGGCCCAGAGGACACCACCCCAAACCTGCAGCTGGGGTCCCCTGTCCCTTGAGCGCCTGTTCTGACCTGGTGCCGGCCGCCGCGGCTTCTCTGGCGCCGTGGAGGTGGGGGACTCAGGCATCTCCTCCTCCACAGGGGTTTCTTCCTGTGCCAGTGGAAAGAAGGTTTGGGGTCTTGAACCGTGGAGGGGTGACTTCACCACCCTTTAACTCCCCAGCATTGCCACCCGCTACCCAGGGTGCCACCCACACGGTTTTGCAGCTCGCTGAGCTCACGTTGAGGTGACCATGAGCCAGAAGAACCAACCCCAGCGTCGTGAGGGGGGGGGAGTCGCAGCTGTGGGTCCTACTGTGGGTGATCTGCCCTCCCCAGGCCACCACCTCCTCCAGGGCCTCCTCACCTGGATATGCAGCTTGTTGTGGAGCTCCACAGGCTCAAGGAAGTTGCAGGGGACAATCCCTTTCTGCAGGGGAAGGAGAAATGAGTGGTGACTACCGGGCAACCCCAGTGCTGGAGGACACAACCAATTGTGTCCTCACCCTTCCCTGCATCCAGGAGAGTTCCTGGGGCTTGAATTTTAGTTTCTGCAGGTTGGATGGGCTTCACTGAGCCCTGTGGCCTAAGCCAGGGAGGGCATAAGGGACCTAAATCAGAAACCTGATTTTTAGCTGCTCTGGGCAAGGCTTTGCCTCTGCAGAACCTCACCACATCCACTCCACTGTCTGCCCTGCTGCCAGCACACTCCTGGTACCTTTCCATTGAACATCACTGTAGCCCAGTTGTCCTTCTCTTTCTTCAGGACAAAGACAATGTTTCCTGGCAGGACCTGCAGCTCCTCAGCGGTCTCGGGGATGAACTCGTACATGACACGGTGCGGCTGCCCTTGGAGGGCCCTGGGTGTGGGAGCAGTGCACAGGTCAGGAATGCTGGCAATACTGTTATTTTAATTTGTAGGGAGAATCCAAGACTCTGCCTTGTTTCTATGATCCATTCTTCATCCCCCTTGAACTTTGGGTGCCAGCTGGGTGCTCAGCCACCACGGTGCAGGACAGGGTTGTGCCTGGCTGTGTGAGTTAAGCAGCATCGTCCATCCTTCATCCAACTTACCTGAGGATTTCTGGGGTCTTGGGCCTGGGTGGAGGACCAGAGGTCTGCCAACAGGAAGACAAAAAGGAAAATCAGCAGTAATCTGGAATATTTTGATTGCTTTGCAGAAATGTCCTGCAGCCTTCTACCACGCCTGCCATCACCCCAGCACCTTCCTCCTGCAGGCCTGTGAGGAACATCACCGGCTGTGCTCCTTCTAAGGAGCTGTTTTCAAATTCTTTCACCTGCAGTCAGTTTTCAGAGGCACAACCCTCTTTTCAACTCTGTAGTGACTGTAGTTTCAGCTCAGAGAGGGTTGAGATGTCAACCCCTGACTGCACCGAGAAGGGTGCCGTTCATCTTGCGCAACGCTGGCTGCGCTTCCCTGTGTTCTGTCAAAATTCTCAGACACCTTTAGAGATGGAAAGGTGTTGCTACACCATCTGGAGAATGGCACAGGAAATGTGAAGGGCTTCAGGAACAGGGAGGAGGATGGAAAAGGGAGAGCAGAACTGCCCACTCAAGCTTAGGCAGAGGATTCCTGATGAATCCCTCCATGGAGGGTCAGAGACAGCTCCCTGCTGAAAGCTGTCACCCCACAGCGATGGTGGGGGCAGAGGACGTGCCACCAGGCCACCGCTTCCCCATTCAGGGAACCAGCTTGACCTCAGCCATGGAGGTGGGTGAGCTTCCTGATGATGGAGGGAGCAGCTGATCCGTGGGGGCAGAGCCCGCCTGCTCCCTGTGCCAGTGGCAGAGAGTTCACGGTGGTTGCTGACAGTGCTGTTTGCTCCCCACCACAGGCCAGAGCCCTTGGAAGCCGAGGGGTGACATCCACCCTGACATGCTCCTGGGCTGTTCACAGCCTTACCTGTGGCTGGAGGGGAGCAAATCCTGAGAAGTTGTCCTTGTCCACCACAGATGCCACCACCTAAAGCCAAAGACAGACAGACAGAGTGCTTGTAGACCTCTGATGTCCACCCTTCTGCCTTTGCTGTTGGCCACGCCAAGCTCCTCAGGCTGCTTCAGGCTCAGGAGGGACTGTGATTTTAGGTTAAGCATCTTGGACTACAGGCTGAGTGCTTCTGGCCCCAAAGCTCCCCTCAGTGTGGTAAGTTCTCCACTCTTAGCCTCGCTGGCACTGGGGTTTGAGACCTGAGCCCAAGGGTGACATCCCAGTGGCTGGGTTTTGCACACCCACGGGAGAGAAGCTTTTGCTTGCTTATCTGAGATGAAAAGCCCCTTTCAAACAGAGCAGGGGAAGAACTGGAGGTTGTTTGTGGGTGTCAGATGCTAAATAGCTTTTTTTCCCCCACCCCTGAAAATATCTTGGCTCGAGGCAAAGCTCCAGTGGGATCTTTCCAGCTCATTGTTGGCTGTCCCTTGTGTCTCACTAAAGAGACAAAGTGGAAATAGGCCATGCTCTGCAGGAACATGCTTTTAGCTCCTCTGTTCTTGCAGAGTCCCCGTTCCCCATGTGTGCCATCCCTCTCTCCGTGCCTGGGGTGGATCCTGGAGGCACAGACCAGCTCCGTGTCTAGATAAATATATTCCTTTCTTACCATTGCCTTTCCCAGGTAGTCCTTCTTCTCCAGCTGAGCCACTTGCTTTTCATTTGGCCTGAACAGCTTCCCCACAGGAATGGCCACCAGCTCACAGAGCTTCTGCTTCTGTAGCACAGGGAAGTCATGGAGTGTTTGGCAGTGAGAGCAGGGCCTGCTGAATGTCCCTTTCTGTCTCTGGGGTTTGGCTTTTACTCCGTAAAGTCAAACCACTGTGACAGCCTGGCCCCAGCCCTGACGTGATCCATGGAACCCGATCTTCCCACCTCTGCCTTCCCAGCGACCCAAAGCTTTTCCCACAGGCTCGTGCCTCACTGTGATGCCCATTCCCACTGTGCTTTTCTCCTGCTAAAAGGTGACTGGGATTTTCCTCCCTGATGGGGCTGCTGGGAGAGAACACATACACGGCTGTAAGACCCGCTCCTCCCTACCAGGATGGCTTCCATTGCCCTGTCAATCTTGTTGTGCTGGGGCTCGCTCTTCATGCTCATGGCCAGAGTCAGGTGCTCCTCAGCCTTCTCCCAGTTCCCCGTCGTGGCGAAGACCAGCGCGATGTTGTAGAGGATCTGCCCGAGGGATGGGGGCGAGGAAAGGAACTGTGGGAGCAGCCAGACCGGGGGGGCAGCAGAGGAGGGGACAAGCGGGGTGGTGGCGTTGCACCGGCTTGCTTGTCTTTCGCAAGGCACAAAGAGAGGCTGTCTTCTCCTTAGATTTCCCGTGCTGGAGAACAGACCTTTGGGATCAGAACTCACCTCGCAAGCAAAGAGCCTGTAGCGCAGCCCCAGGATCTTGTAGTCGATGAGCTGGTTGCCTCGCAGCTGGGCCAGTGCCTCTTTGAAATCCTCAATGGCCTTTCCATTGCTGGGGAGGAGAGGACAAGGGTGTCACCAGGCCGTGGTGGCAACCTGCCTGCCTCCAAGCCTATGCCCAAACTCGTGGGAGTTCAGTTGGGTCTCAGTGTTTCAGACACCCCAGGGAAGGAGAGCTGATCCAAGTTCATCCCAGGACTGCGGTGCTGAAGAACAGGAGCCCGCTTGACCTCAGGGGGTTCCAATTTGGCCCCTGAGGTACCAGCCTGCCTGGGGCCATCCTCAGCTGAAGACGACTGTCTCCACGACCAGCAAAAGTCAAACTTTAAACCCTTCCACTCACTTTTGCCTGCGGTAAAACACGGTCCCCCGCTGGAAGTAAGCCACTGCCAGGTGCTTGTCGCAGCCGATGCTCCGGGTGAATGCCTGCACGGAGGTAGGAGTGGGGCAAAAAGGGGGTACCTTTAAAAAACGGGGGGCATAGAGCAGTTGTACCTGTCCTGCTTTAGCCGAGTGGCCTGGGCTGGGCTCTGGGGATTGTCTCCCTGCACTGTTGGGCACTGGGTGGGGGAACCTGTGTCAGGCTCCTGGTTTTTTCTGAGCTGGATCCACGTGCCACTGTGGTCACCCCTCGGAGAGAGGAAGGGTGAGCAGCGAGCCATTGGCTGCCGCTGCTGCCTCGCCTCTGATCCGCTGGGAAAACAGGTTCAGCAGGAACAGCCCAGGGCTGTCTCCCTTCCTCACAGATTTGAAAGTCCCCAAATCCTTCCCTTAGGCCATGAGCCTTAATTCCTCCCTTCCCCACAGCGTCCATCTGTCTGGCAGGTCCAACAGGTGAGCAGGACTAGCAGCCCTTCGGGCTGTACTTTACCTCCTCCGCCTCCGCCAGCTTCCCCAGGACAAGGTGGATGCAGCCGATGTTAAAGCAGATTTTGGCAGGGGGGTTCTGGACGGCTGTGAAGGCGTCCAGGGCAGCGCTCCAGTCCTTCCTGTCTGCTGCACACACCCCTTCTTGCCACAGCCGGATCGTCTCCACCAGGGACATGGCGTGGTGGGAGCTGTGTCGTGGGTCTCGCCCCTCTCCTCGTCCTTCCTCGTGGCGCTGCTCAGCCTCTCTCGTCTCCCTTCTGCCTGTACTTCTGCCTTTCCCCTGCCCGTGTCGCAAACCTGGCAGGAAGTGGCTTCACTGCATCGCAGCCCCGGGATGGGGAAGTGGGGCAGAGCTGCCCCTGGTGCAGTGGGCTCCGTGGGGTGCACCCCTGCTCCTCCCTGGCAGCTGCTCCTCATCTCCTCGGGTTTGGCTTCTCTGGCTTTTCCATGGAAAGCCACAGATTTTGTCAGTTCGTTAGGTCAGATTTTGGGGTGCAGAGGCGCAGGGCAGGTCCTCAGCCGAGCCCCTGGTGCCGTCTGAAGCGCGGTCCTCGATGGGGGTGGTTGCTAAATAGGTTCCTCTCAGCAACTCCTGGCAGGCACGGCTGGGCTGAGGCTCCCCTGCCTGCCCGGCTGGAAAGGTGAAGCACAGCCAAAGGCACCACCTGGGAAACCTTTGATCCTTCCCATCCCTCACCGTGTTGCCCCAGTGTGGAATTCTACTGCTGGGGGGACGTGGAGCTGCCCGCGGATGGGGTTTCTTGGGGCAGCGGCTGCTGGGAGCACAGGGACACACAGGGCATGTGGCCAGTGGGGATGGCAGGAGTCAGACCTGCTGCTGACTCGGAGGTTTGGAGCCGAGTGCTCCACAGGTGGCTTTTAAGTGTTTTTGGAAGTACTTTGCCTCTGGCACATCTACCAGCGGTGAGATGTGATGTGCATTTTGCAAGAGCTTAAAATATGTCGGCAAGACTCTGCCCTTGTGCCTTTACCCAAACTTCCTCAGCAAATTACAGAACTCCAGCACTGGGAGGGAGGCTGAGGAGGAGACTTCTGAGTCCTGCTTTGGGAGAAACCTGAGGCCCCGAGCACGGAGTTGGGTTTTAATCCAGAGTAGGACTGAGCACACCCCTGAGCCTGGAGGAGACTCTGTGACCTCCAGAAAAGGAGAAGGAAATGCAAACACTTCATGATGCAGGAGAGGGGTGGGAATAGCAGTGGGAATGGTGAGTGTGCAAACACCCCTCTGAGGTGCCTTATCTCATTATTGTGAGGAATGGAAGACTCCACTGAGCAGGAAAGCTGAAGGGATAATTGCAGGGATAATTTTCTGCTCATTTAATTGTCTGAACCGGTGCACTGCTGGGTCAGGTTTACCCCAAAACCAGTACAAAGGGGAGCTGGAGGAGGATGAGAGATCACCCCTGTTGGCTTTTTCATTCTTGTCTTTCAGAGAAAGAGGGGAGCACACGGAATGCTCACTCTTCTGCTTGGGTATTAGTCATGTAATGTTCAACTGATTTCAGAGCTGTGATAAACACAGCCCTTCTAGGAAGAGAAAGTCCCTCATTCCCCTTTCTCTGACCAAGCTGATTTAGTAGGCAAACTAGTGTTTCTTCTATGATAACATCCAAGAGGAACTGAGTATCAGAGATGGTGACATCTCCTGTGGAAGATTCTTGGAATCCAGCAGAGACAGGTCAGAAATACACAGAAATGCCCAAAATCCAGCTGGGGTGCAGTGCTTGTGTTTGAGCTTGTACAGCAACAATTTACACAAGGCTCTCATCATCTCTGGAGAGGAGATTCAAATATAGACTGATCTGAGCACTGAAAAAACATTATTTTTGTTCCCATCATTTATCTAATGCCATCTAGAGGTGGCTGACCTGCTTTGGTACCAATTGCTGTGGAAAATATTTTTAACTTCTCTGAGATTGCAGGTGTTTTTTTTTTTTTTTTTTCAATGAGGATTGATTGGTATCTTAATCAAATTTGGACAAGTGGAAGGAACCAGAGATGATGTCCATCCTGGGAGGAGGAGCCTGCTGAAACTTGAAGGTATGTCAGACGTGGGAGAAAACATTCAGTGATTTATTGTCTGGTCTTTATTATTATTATTACAAAAAAAAAAGCAGATATCAAAAAACAGCAAGGATTTCACAAGGTCCCCAACAGTTTTACAGAAATGAACTGCAGTAAAATAGTGAAAGTTAAATATGTGTTTTTCAGTCCTGGCCCTAAACCTTCTACGGTGATCTGTGGCCTGGGATGCCCTGGGCTTTCCTAATTCTTTTTAAAATACTCCCCTTTATTTGGGAACCCAATTGGCCCACTAGCTAACATAATGAGGCACAAGGCAACAGGAATGTGAGCTGTCTGGTATCCTTACAGACTCTAAACATCCAGAAACAAAGTATGGGAACTCTGCAAGGATGGTGTGGATACCAGGATGTGTCTCTGCCTACCCCAAGCAGCCACTTTAGTTGTGCTTGACAAAATCGAATCACTTTCCAGTTGCTGAAAGGTGATTTGTTGTGTAAAAGCTGCTTTTTCTTTTTCTCATCAGGATCTTTGCTCCCCAAAATAAAAAGAGTTCAGTGGGCTGAGCTCCAGCGTAAATGGACCATCAACCTTTTTAAGTTCCATCATCCCAATGGCACGATGGACAACTCCATCCCACTGTGACCCTCCTGCTGCAGACCCAGCGCTGGACTGGTCACAGGAAACAGGGTAAGGAAAATACTCAGCTCTCTGGAATGATATTTGGGCTTGGAAAGGAGCTTTTGCTTTCTGTCCTATTCACGGGTGTAGGTTCAGAGGTTGACCAAAGGCAACGTGGTCCAGTTACCTGTGTTAATAATAGCTGCCCCACTTCTCAGAAACACAGATTTTAGCTCAAAACACTGCTTGGCTAGAGAAAAGAATTAAGACACTGCCCTGCGTCCCTCAGCATTTGCTCAGAGAGTCAGGTCCAAATCCGCCACGATTACACACAAATGCACATCATCACCCTAAACACCGAGCTGTTCACGTCACTGTACGAGCCACTGAAACGTCGGCCAGCATCAAATATTCCTGTTAGGAGTAAAAACTGCACCTTCATCATTTTCCAGAACTTAAAACCACGAAAGAGATCACGACACGCATTATTTGTCAGGTATGAAAAGAAGCAGAGAGAGAAGGCAAGCTGAGAGACAGGGGCTGCCCCCGGGGCGGCCGTGGGTCGGTCGGGCTTCGCACCAGCAGTTCCCACTCGCCGCTGGATCTAAACCGTCTTCCTGGCAGTGAGAACACGGACAATGGAGCCAACTCCTCCAGCAGCCAGGGCCTGGGAGGGGAAACACAACAGTTAACACCAGGCCAGGGGAGCTACAGGCTAACCAGGACCTGAGGGAGACAACAAGGAAGATGGAGAGGGACTTCCTACAGGAGCAGGAAGTGCCAGGACAAGGGGCAATGGCTTCATGCTGACAGAGGGCAGGTTTGGATGTTGGGAAGAAATCCTTCCCTGGGAGGGTGGGCAGGCCCTGGCACAGGGTGCCCAGAGAAGCTGTGGCTGCCCCTGGATCCCTGGAAGTGTCCAAGGCCAGGTTGGATGGGGTTTGGAGCAACCTGGGCTGGTGGAAGGTGTCCCTGCCCATGGCAGGGAGTGGGACTGGATGAACTTTAAGGCCCCTTCCAACCCAAACAAGTCTGGGATTCCATGAAATGACTCAGATCCCAACTGTATTTCAAATGAGCATCTCCCTGCCCTCCACAAAACACCAGCACCCAGGGTGCCAGGGCAGGATAATCACACTCGCTTTAAACACAGATATTTAACTTAGATTAAGCTTTGATATCTCTGCATAATCAAGCTGCAAATTCTACTTCCCTCTAAGGGGCAAACTTTGCTTCCATCTGCTTGAATCACCAGATCCAACCATTCTGTTTGCCTCAGTCTAAGGGGAAAAGCACATCTTAACTGTAGAATCTTTACCCAAGGAACCAGCAGTAGGCACAGGATGTAACTCAGCTGTGAGGTCGTGGGACCAAACCCTCCTCCTCACAGCCTGAAATGTGGCACTGGAGTTTCACCAGACAGGAAGGGGGTTCTTGCCAAGCTCAGGACCTGCCACCAGGGATAGCCCAGCAGGAGCTGGCCCCACCCACACACCTTCTCATGCCACTGCAGCAGCACAGCACTGCTGTTGTCGGAGGGGCTCTCAAAGCCCTTGTAGATGTACTTCATGAGCAGGTCCACGCCGTTCTTGTCCAGCGACTGCACCGCCTTCTCGATATCGTTGGCTTTGAAAGAGATGAGGACCTTCAGCACAATGCTCTCAGCACGATCCTGTCAACAGGCAGGCACAGACACATCCATTCTCCTGTCAGATGCATCCAAAAACTGCTCTCTCTCAAACAAAGTGAGTGAGAATGTTTTCCTCTTTAACAGCTCTGAACAGGACAGTGTGTGATGCTAACACGGAACAGACAAGGATAAACAGTGTAAAGAGTTTGCCCTGCTCTCGTTTTTCGGCCTCTCTGCTCATGTTTGCAATTTTTGGCTATAGTAATAAGCAATACAGTTATGCTAGACAATTATAACTAAATATTTTAATTAAATAATAATACCTGTTCATATCAAAGCTCAAGGTCTAGCAAGCTCCAAAAGAATTATAACAATTTAGTGCTTGTCTGACCTCCTTTGCCACCAGAGCCTTTTCTGTGCCTCTGAACTCTTTAATGTGACACAACTGTTATATTCCATGGAAATGCCATGGCCAACCTGGAAGAGGTGACTGCTGGAAGCCACATGTTTTCCAAACAGTCAGCTGCTGCCCCAGGCACGCTGGATGCAGACTGGCAGCATTAATATTGTGCACTAATAAGCATTTGCAAGTTGGTCTGGATGCCATTTCGTGGAGGCCCAGGAATGTGTGTGGCATGCTCACAGTGGCATTTAGCCACGTAATCAGCAAAGAACAGCTCTTCTTCTCTTCCTGTTCATCCATCACTAACTGAGGATGAAAAAAAGGTCTGGGGTTTGTTGGACTTTACACAAACACTTCAAGCAGCTTCCTGCTATGTAAACTGTGGGTGTCAGTGTTCTTGCCCAATTTAATATCCCATAACCACTTGGCTTAGCAAGACTTCTCACAGGAAGAACTGCAAGTAAAAATACAGAAGTTCTAAAGATCAACTAAAAATGAAAGCAGACATTAAAATATTCAGTCACTCCGCCACCTTCAATTCCACTACCAAGTGTGTTCTTAAATCCATCAGTACAGGGCTAAAGGAAACAGGTCATTAATGTGAGGGCCATCTGTAACAGCTGGTTCTCAGAGCCTCGTGAAATCCCTCAGGAATGGGCTGGGCCTAAAGGGAAAACTCTGCCCTGTGAGCAGCACAGAGCTGTGCCTGTGGGCAGGGAGAACTGACTCTGCCTGGGCAGTGCCACATCTTATCAGCCCGTTCCTCCCATCACCGCAATCATGAGCCATTCAGGGGTTATTCTGGGGAGACTCAGAAATGCACACACCCACTCTCTGTCACAGGGGGGAGGGCTGGCCTTTCCTGAGGTTTTAACAGCTTCATTCTGATTGGATGTGACAAGCACCAATTCTTCCTTTTTTGTAGGCTCACTGCTAATGGTTTCCTTCGTCAGAGGTGACAGCTGCAGCTCTGGTTCCCTGATCACCCAGCAGCAACCACATCCGTGTGCTGCCACGTCTGGGTCACACACAGGCACCTGGTGACAGCTGGGCACACAGAACACAGCCGACACAGGTAAGGAGGACACACCACACCTCATCCAGCACCAAGTTAAGGTTACCTGGACAAGATGCCACTTGGGCTACAGTATTTCCAGCAAGATTAATACACTAGTGGTCAGGGATGTTTCGATATCAGGGAATACCCTAAAACCCCCTTCCTCAAAGTACACCTGGTGGCAACAGAAACAGGAAAAGATTTTTTAGGGAATAACCCATGAGTGAGTTAGTTACTATTTCATCACCTTCACTGCCTGGTTCTTTGTGTTGATGGGAGGGTTCTTCAGAGCCGCCTGCAGCGCAGCCATCATGTTCCCTGTGCCAGAGGGTTAAGGAGCAGACACCAAATACACCGAAATCAAGTACCAAGTACTGGGACAGCCATACTTGCAGCTGGCTTATGCATGACTGAAAACACTCCAGGCCCAGTGGATGCAACGATTCCCTCACCAACCACCACAGATTACAGCCTAAGGCAGCAATTTTTAGGCCACTTAAGACAGGAGCAGCACCAACAAACAGCTCCGGGACTGGAGAATACCTCCTGGGCCCTTCGCTGAATGAGGACCCAAGTAAAAGAAATCATCCTCCATCACTCCTGCGATTTGCAGCCCTGGAGAACAGGCCTGGGGGAGCACAGCACCCGTGAGACACCCCACCCGTGACAGCGCAGCCCTGGGGCACCGCTGGGGAGAGGGGGGGAGCGGGGCTGCCTCTCTCCTCCCCCTGCAGCCCCTTCCCCATCCTCTATCAGCCACTTCCCCTTCCCCTGCCAGCCCCTTCCCTGCCAGCCCCTTCCCCTGCCAGCCCCTTCCCCTGCCAGCCCCTTCCCCTGCCAGCCCCTTCCCCTGCCAGCCTCCATCCCCTGCCCACTACAAGCCCCTTTGCCTTCATCCCTTTCCCCTTTCAGCCCCTTCGGCTTCTCCCCGCTCGGTCCCCTCTCTCCCTCCCTCCCCGCTCGCCGCGGTTCCCCTACAAGGCCGCGCCCGCCGCCCCCGCCAGGATATTGCCGCAGGCACGAGTCCACCTCGCCCTCGTCGGGCCCCGCCTGCCCGTCGCCCCCGTCCTCCTCATCCACGAACTTGTTCTCGTCGTACTCGTCCACGTCCACCCGGCGGAACCGCGCCGAGGACACCGTGTGCTTCGCCATGGCCGCGCCCGGCCCGCGCAGCCGCCGCCCCGCCCCGGCCCGGCCCCGCCCGCCTCGGCCCTGCCGTGGGCAGGGACAGCTTACACCCGCCCCAGGGACAGCTTCCACCCGCCCCAGGGACACCTTCCACCCGCCCCAGGGACACCTTCCACCCGCCCCAGGGACGCCTTCCACCCGCCCCAGGGACACCACCCACCCGCCCCCACTGCTCCGAGCCCCGTCCAACCCGGCCTTGGACACTTGCAGGGGTGCGGCAGCCACAGCTTGTCTGAGCAGCCTGTGCCAGGGCCTGCCCACCCTCACAGGGAAGGATTTCTTCCTGATATCTAACCCTAACCTACCCTCTTTCGATTTGAACTCGTTCCCCCTTGTCCTGTCGCTCAGGCCTTTGTAAACAGTCCCTCTCCACATCTTTCCTGTAAGTTCCCTTCAGGCCTGCAAGGCCACAATCAGGTCACCCCGAAGCTTCTCTCTTCCAGGCTGAACAATCCCTGCTCTCCCAGCCCTTCCTCCCAGCAGAGCCGCTCCAGCCCTCTGATCATGTTGGTGCCTCCTCTGGACTCGCTCCATCCCGTGCTGTTCCCCAGGGCTGGGGGCAGCTCTGCAGGGGGGTCTCACCCGAGAGGGGCAGAATCCCCCCCTGTCCTGCTGCCCACGCTGGGGGTCACCCCAGGACATGGGGGGGTTCCTGGATCCCAGCACCCATGGCTGGGTCATGTCCAGCCTCACCCCTCGGCACCCACAAGTCCTTCTCCCCAGGGCTGCTCTGCATCTGTTCATCCCCAGCCTGGGTTGATCCCACAGTTGATCCCTGTGTTGTTGCCACAACCCAGGTGCAGCACCAGCACTTGTTCCTGTTACACCCCATGAGATTCCCATGCTCCCACTTCCCAGGCCTGTCTGGGTCCCTCTGTCCACTGCCCCTTGCCCCATTCTCTAAGACCTTTAGTATATTAAAGATATTGAATCACAAAGACAAAACACTGCTCTAAAGTGTAGAAATATTTTTTTAAACCATTTGGACTGTGCAGGTAATTATTACCCTATTGTTAACTAGGGAATTACACAGCTTTGTGAGGGTCCTCTTAATGAAAAGCAGCAGCCCTATATATATTTATATATTTTATATATATATTTATATATATTTATTTATATATATATATATATACACACACACACACATATGAGAGATATATATATAATCCCTGTTGTATATTATATAGTATCCCTGTCATTAAGGGAACAGCTTGTGGGAAAATTTATTCTTGCATCAGCTCTACCTGCAGGACCACCTTGTTGATGGAGGAGGAATTTAGGATGTGTTGTGTTCCACCAAAGCTGCCTCACCTGGGAAGCTGCAATCCAGCTGTAAGTGAGGTTGTAGCCTGGGGACTGTATCTGACATTTTTCTGGTAGAAATCGACCTAAAGGCAACAAATTAATTGCAGGAGGTAATTAAAATGTCACAGAAACAGATAGTTTGGGTTGAAAGGACCTTAAAGGTCATCTAGTTCCAACCCCCTGCCACAGGGTATACAGAGCTTTGGGGTTTATGATTCTGGGTTTGTGTTTGAAAGGTGGAGGATTAAAACAAAAGGACATTCATAATCGGTTATTTGAGACCCACGGTTTTACACTGCGGGTTAACTTGGGTAAGAGGGGACTTTAATGGTGCTTTTTTGCTATCTGTGATCTAAGTTTCACACCCAAAAGTGGAGGGATGTGTGTCATCCTCAGAAGAGGTGCGTGCCACAGGGAAACACGGGGAAATGAGGAGTTCCACTGAGTCATTCCTTTGGCATTTTTAAATGCCTTACAATATTTATGGGTCTGAGGTGTAGCTGTTCCCTCTGAGAGGGCAGAAACACGCCTGGAGAAAGCACACGGCTCGGAGACATTGGAGGGGGCAGAGTGCCTTTCACGGCTGGGAAAGGCTGTCGGGAGGCCGGGCTGGGAGAAGGGAAGACCTTTAAATTCTGCCTCACAGCCGGGTTCCCTTCCATTCCCCGGGGAAAGGCTTCCCTAAAATACGTTTTCACTCCCGTTAAGTTAATTTGACGTGGGTTCTGCCGACCTGCTGAGGCTCCTGACGGCAGCGCTGGGTGAGGAGGGATTGCCCCTGTGATGCCACACACGAAGTGGCAGAGCAGGTACTGCCGTGCCCCCTCTGGCAGCCTCTGCAGGGTCACCCGAGGCCAGAGGCTGCAGAGGCTCCGCAGAGCCCTGGCATCCCCCACGGCACCGGGAGAGCCATTCCCGGCGCGATAGAGCCGGGAGAAATAGATGCGGAGCGTGACGCGTGGGTGTCTCAGCAGGAAGCTGTACATTTTCCTCAAGCAGCAGTCACAGGGGGAGAGATTCGAGTAGAGGGCGACGCACCTGATGCTTTCACAGGCGGCTGTGGCTGCGTCCAGGTACCCGCCCGCCTGGAACAGCACAGCCTCGGGGTGCTGGGCTCGGGCAGTGCAGTTTGTGGCGTGGCCTTTCTGCAGGACTCTGCCTGAGAAGCTCCTCAGCTCGTAGAAGAGAAGGTGCCTGTTTTGAGGAGTCGCTGCGGGCCTGTGTGGGGAGCCAAAGAGCCCGTGGAATTCTGTGAGTGGCACTCTGGCTTCTTCCCCCGTCCGGATGTGGAAGGGACACTTGGCACAGGCAGGGCACTGTCTCTGCCACCAGCAGGGCTTTACCACAGTGCCCTGGTTTGTCAGAAACTCTTGGAAAATGGTTTTCTCTCCTGGAGGGTTCATGTTCGGGTTTGAAAAATCTCCCTGTTTATGTCAGCTACACCTGAGCTGACAGTCCTGAGTGAAAAAGGAAAGGAATCTTGTCATTCAGCCCTTTGATCTGTTTTGTACTTAAAAACCCACAAAAATAATAGGGCACAATCTCTTCAAAAAGCTACTGAGACTTTTAGCAGCATATGGAAAACTTGCTTGGTGACACACAGAACAAAACTCTCACAGCCTGGGAGCATTCTTAGTTTTCACAAGCCAGCCTTTTTGCTAAAAACATGAGCAAAAAACTTTCCTCTGGCTTCAGCCCTCTGAGCCTAGACAGGACAATCTGTGTAACAGAAACAACCACACTTTTCAGGGTTGAATACAGGTGATTCTGTGATTCAATCTGGCAAAACAAACATGCAAACATGAGAAAACAGAATTTAAAAAAATGGTATAATTACCATCTCAGCAGCTCCAGCTCAGGATAATAGGAAATATTGACCTGATTTCCTTCAGTGAAATTTTAGGCTTTCCCTTTAGGGCTCTTGCAAGCTTCCTCTGCAAATTCCATGGTGCACAAGAAGGAGGCTCCTCTTGCCTCCTCGGTCTGGGCGGTTCAGCTGCAGAAGGATCTTTCCCAGTGCAGGAACTCGGCCCCAGTTGTTCCAAGGCAGGCGGGTTCCTTTGGGTGTTTCCAGGTGCCAGGTGCTGGGAGACAGGAACACAAACAGGATTTGCTCTTGCAGGGCCAGGCACCGGTGGGAGTTGAGATGCTGTTCTGTGCCTGTCAATACTTTTTCCATCTCTGGAGTTTTTAATAATTCATTTGGTTCTTTGGTGCCGTTTGATACAAGGTTTTGTAGCTGAAATCTGGGTGTCCTGACAAACGTCCTACTGAGTTCATTTACCAAATGATTTCTCTGGGTATGTGCCTGCTGTGCCAGCTGGCCAGAAAGCTCCTGCTGTAATTCTGCAACAGGTTGCCCCTCCTTTAGGAAGTTTGTATCCCCCCCACCGAGGCTGTAATTCCATGGGCTCAATCACACTCTGCATGGGCAGGGTGCCAGAGGAGGGAAAACACAAGTTTTGTGTGGATGAACAGCTTTTGGCTCAAGCAGAAAATTATTTTTTTTGTCTTCACTGCTGCTCTCATTTGAGCCCCTTGTCATCCTTGGATCTGGTTTAATTCTTTGCTGCTTCTCTGAGTACGTACAACTTTTCCATCTGCATGTTTTATCACAGTTTGCTTCTGCATTCCACTTCGATTTGCCCTCTGTCACTGTTTCATTTTCTTCTTAAATTCCTTATTTGATTTATTAGCTTTGTTTTCCACTCCTGACTCTACACTAACTTCCACATATTTTCCCGTGCTGGGGTTCCTTCCTGATCCAGGCCATTGTGCTGTTCTCATTCGGATTGCTCCTAAAGATTGGCTTCCTGACATCAGGAATGTTCCATTTGTCATTTCTGATGTCTCTGTACATTTTTTGATGTCCAGTCATGCAGTGCAGTGTCACCCTGGCAGCACTGGGCCTGACACAGAGGAGAGCAGGTCTGGAGAAGCGGAGTGGGATGTCAGGAGAGGGCATCGCCACTTGCAGGCTGCAGATAACAAAGGCAATTGAAAAAGCTGCAAATCTGGGGCGAGGTTCCGATTCCCTCTGTCCCTGCTGGTGTTTCTGCAGAGCTGAGATGGCCACGCGATGGCAATGTCGCACCTCGGCGATGTGTCCCGTTCCCCGCTGCACGGAGCTCTCTTTCAGCGTTGCTGAAAAGGTTTTCCACCACAGGTACCGGAAATTTTCTCTCTCCCCCTAAAACTTGTGGGGTTTTTTTTTGGTTTGTTTGGTGTTTTGCCCCGATCAAAACGCATCAATTTTTCAGTCTCCTCAGTTAATAGTGCCACGTCCTTAGAGGATGGGAGTCAAATGCCAAACTACCCACTTGGATGGATTAATTGGAATAGTGTTCCAAGTGCGTTTCTGTGTGCACAGCATCAGCCTTTGGCCCCTTTGCCAGCGCTGTCCCTCCCCAGGAGCCACCACTCCGATACAAATCATGGCTGATGGATCATTGGGATCTCAAAATGTGTGTTAAAAACTTCACATCCTCTGTACAATTATGTTTAAAATTATAATTACACCCCTGCCTATCCCAACTAAACTTGGAAGGGACATGGACATAATTACAACTTTAGGGAATTTTTTTCTCTTATTAGTAAAATGTAGCCCTCTCTGGGGCAGAGGGCAGGAGGTGTTGATTAGTGCCCCAGAACAGGGTAAAATGTTGACAGGAGGAACCAGAGAGGAATGCTTTATCCAGTGAAAACCACAGGGAAAACTTACATGGCCAGTCTGTAATGACTCAGGTTGGAAGGGAGCCAGGATCCAAGCCAGGTGTTCTGCTCCTAGGGAAAAAAAAAAAAAAAAAGGCATAATGATCAGGGCTGGGATTTCTTTTTTTTTTTAAATCCAAATATTAGCTAAAACCAGGCTAAAAAGCACACAGAAATTCTGATCCAGCCCAACGTGTCCAGTCTGGACCTGATCTTACTGATTTGAACGTGGGATATCGGGATTTCTGAAGATGTCTTTTGGAAGTGAGGTTGTGTGCACCCATTAGGCAAAAGCTGGTGCATGATTCCATGGAATCAGGATGATTTTATTCCCCAAGCTAAACCACGATGTGTTTCCACAGCCTGGTCCACGTGTCCTGTGTGTGTGTGAGGCGTTCTAGAGCTGATACGCTGCCCTCAGGACAAGGACAGGTCTTTTGTTTTGCCTCTGAAACGTTTGGAAATTCTGTTGCATTTCTTAGTACAGCCTGGTGCAAAATAATCTCGGTTGGAAGCATTTTCCAGATGACTTCATTCAGTAAGGAGTTTATCTGAGTTCAAAGTCCAGAGCAGTCACACGGTCCCTTCACAGCCGGAGACTCCTGCGCAGCCCCAAGAGTTTAAAAATAAGGAATAAAGGACAGGGAGGAAGAAGCAGAATCCGTCCACAGCTGCTCATAACCACTCTGGCTGTGGAGGGGAGCCCTGGTGCTCTGCATTCTGCCACCAGGCCGTACAGATTAGCCAGGATTTACGTCCTGAGTTGGGAGAGTTTCCTGCTCGAGCTCCTGTGAAAGTCAAACCCTTCACAAAACTGATCCACCAAACTTCCCTTACTCGGCTTGTCCAGCCTCAAAATGGTTGGAATTATCACCTCACTTCCCGAAATTTTTCCAGAGCTCCCTTATCTTCTTTGTTTCCTTTTATCTTTATGCCCCAAAATAAGTATTTTTTCCCTTTTCTGTCTGTTAAACGTAGAATTGAAAACGACAAAGCAGCAAACAGTCTGTAAGGGGAATGACAAATAAGGATGTTTAAATGCCAGAGTCAGGGTAACCAGGTTAAATTTTAGGACAGCAAAAATAATAAGGAAAAATTACAGAAATAACCCAGCATTTTGATTATTAAAAACAACAAAAAAAATCCCATTCTACTGAGCGTGGTCACAGTAGAGATTCTAGGTGGAGAATTTCTTCCATATTAATTATAAAGTGTTGTCAGGATGCTTTGTTTGACAAACAATTGGACAGATTTCCTCTTGCCCTAAGAAAGAGCCAAGGAACTTGCCAAGAGCCTGTGTTTGTAGATAGAAAATATAAAAGACCAAAATGAAAGTTTAGAGATGGAAATATCTTTTTTATATATATATATATAGTATATAACATATGTTTTACACACATATATATCAAATAAATTATATATATATAAAATATTCTTCTTCATCTTCTTCCCATTAAAAGTGAAGATGATTCTTGGGACTCAAAGCAACGTATTTAATTCTTAGAAAATATCAGCTCAGAAAATAATTTAAGGCTCAGGGTCAAATGATTCATGTGCACACAGATTTGCTTCCATGAAGATCAGCGGAGCTCGGATGGTTTCCAGAATCACAGGGCCAGGGAAGGTTTTACCAATTACTGGCATAAGTGTTATGAGACAGGCAGAAATGTTCCCTTAATTTTGGTTATGGACTATGAGCCACATACATCTAGAATATTGCACCAATGTTCAGTCCAAATCTGAGCTCGTTTCCACTGTCTCTTTTCGAGCCCTTCCCTAGGAATGAACGGAGCTGTGCTGGCAGAAAACCCCCTGGAGTTGTGACTCCACTCTGTTCACAGGGTAAACCAGGTAAATCCTAATTAGCAGTGCAGTAATTACACCTCTCCTATAGCTGCCTGGTGATTCCAATCCAACTGACAAACGCTGGCTGTATGTCAAGGAAGAAGAGGGAAGGCGGAATTTGGTGTTCTTTGGGAACAGATGCCAGGGATGCTTTAATCCCAAACAACTCCTATTTCTCCATTTGGGTGCCCCGTGTTCTTTTGCCGTGCGGGGATGAGCGTTGGCCAAATAACACCATTGAAGATTTGCTGCTCTGAACCCAATTATCAGCCCTGCCTGACTTCCCTGGAGGTTTAATCTTTGGGTCTCTTCCAGAACTCAACTGTGATCTCAGATGCTTGGCATTTTGGGATTGAAACGTAAGGAAGTTAGCAAGTGGTATACGGATTTTCTAATTAAAGCCCAAGGAGCAGCCTGAGCATAGCAGGACTTCTGGGCTGTAATCCTTGGATTAAACATTGGCTTTCCTTGCACTTGTAAATGGACATTGTGTTTCTCAGGGAAAAAAAAAAAAGTAATGTCCATCAAAATAATCTTGAAGCCTGGGGAGATACAGCGATAGCTGCATTGTTAGGACTGCATGTGGAAAGGGATTTACAGTAAATCTCCTGGTGTGCAGATTAAACTGGACAATATCCTTCTGTGTCTGGATGGCAGCCACAGAACTGTTCACCCCATCTGGCAACTCCTCCCTCCCCAAAACAAGGATGACGTAACTACAGGACTTAAAAAAATGTAAAATCCATAAATAAAAACAGAAATAAGAGCTTAGCAATTCTTGCACCGCTGCTTGACACGGAGCTCCCCCACGGCTTTGGTGGCGTTGGGATCGGGCTGTGAATGAGTC